TCTAATGCCTAGGAATAAACGTTGCGTGTTGAAACTGGTGGTAACTGTGCACCAAACACTGAGTGCTCCCATTTGGGACATGCATTGTTATCCTGATGTCCCTGCATGGCCCAGATGCGTTTGGCGGAAAATTCAGTATAGTGGTCTGGTTTAAACCCCTATCGCAAAACGCTGGAGACATGTTATGCCCCCAGCTAGGCTAGGCAACTATTGCAGTGCGTGCATACCATAAATCTGGAGGCAGGCTCAGCATCTGGGTCATGATCATCACCAATGTTATAGCCCGTGTTTCCACAAACTGGAATGTTTCTGGAGCAATTTCAAACAATGATGCCTCACATTAATTTTTATTTATTTTTTATAAATTTGATCCAAACTCCTTTCAATGGATGGATTTCTGGGACCAGCGCTCACGCTAAGCAGTGCTTGTTGTGTGAGCCCTCACCCCCACCACCCGATCGCGCAATTCCAGGCAACGGCAGAATCTCGTGGCGAAAGCTTTACGTGCCGCAATGCTCGGCCCGGTCCGTCCTGCCCTCTGGTCAACTGACCTTTAGCGCGACCGCTGCCACCGGCCGCAGGCCATACCTGCCAAGGGCAAATAGCAAGCGCCCTGAAGCGACTCGAACTCACCCCGCCACGGGTGGGTGGATCGGAATGCGGGCGTTCTAACCAACTGAGCCAGCGAGACGGACAAAAATTATTCAACCAAAAATTATTTGAAAGTTTGGTGCGATATGGCCTGGCCTGTGTTTCGTGCGTGATTGCACCAGGTTCAGGTTCAGCACCACTTTTGAGCAGGCATTGGTTAAGTGGATGAATTTCTTGGGCGGGTGCCTTCTACGAGATTGTTAACTGATGTCTTTCATGCTCGACACGGAGTGTGTGGCGGCTAGATTTATTTCAGCCAGGTGCTGGGAGATACGTTGGTGTATACACATAAATAATGAAAAACTGGGTAGTTTCATTAGAAATGAACTCAGTGAGCAGCTAGTTTGATAACCTTCGCTGTAAAATGAGATGGCATCCTTGCGCGCATTATGCGTTGCGTATGATCCTTGCGTCTCCCTCTGTGTTTGTGTGCATGGTAATCCTTGGCATCATGGAAAACAATATATGGAATGGATTAAAACAGAAAATGGCTAACTCTGGTTACCAATCATGTGTTGAAAGCAGGTAAGGTAAGCAATTACTTGGTCCACAGGAGACTTATTGGCTTCTTCCTGCTATTCCCCCCCCCCCAAAAAAAGTCATCACCTTTTGCATGGTTTGCTGGCGGACAGAGTCATCCCACTCACCCCCCAAATATAAATATCAATCATGCCCACCAACCTACGAGATTAAAATGAGAAACAAGCGAGAGGTGTGCATGATAAACATCAGAGGGCAGAATTTCGCCATCACTTCTGCACTAGCTGCGTCAGGTCTGTCCCAAAGCTCTGCATGGCAGCATTAGGAAAGCCTTGCCAGGTAGCCTGGTGAGTCAGACACTCGAAAGGCTTAGATTTATCATTATTGAGCAACGCCATGAACCAAGAAGACGGTTAACCGAAGGATTAACGGGGCAAAAATGGCGGTAAAAATAAGTTCCGTGTTTCAAATTGTCTTCTTCATTCCCTGTGAATTGTTCACGCTTGGGCGCATACCAAATATGTTTGGGCGGCTGGCGAATTAATCCAATTTATGTATGAAATACGTACAAGTTTGCAGTTGGAGCACCTTGCAGAAAAATTGGTCAAAATTTTAAGCAGCAGGCGGTATCTTTAAAGGCAGTTGAAAAGGAAGGAAGAATATAGTGGTATCACATTTGTATGATGCCAAGAAAAACAAAAGTAGCTAAATAAATATAAAGACTGGTACTTCTCTCGCAAAGTTTTGTCATCAGCTGATTTGACTTAAAATCTGTTAATACAAGTGCTCGAATGGTGATATTCATCTTGTAAGTTTCATTCAGAAGACATTTCTCGAACTTTTCATTCCTGCATTTCGGGAGTGATGCAACTTAGTGGTCAAGTTTCCTGGGAAAAAACAAGTATGTGGAGTAAAACTCTCTACAAGTCCTTGCTGGTGTTTGCACCGGGCTCTGCTTTCGTGGTGTGGTGGTGAGACCAAAAAAAGGGGGATGCGAGAAAGCCTTGTATTTGGCGCACGGCTGCAGATTGTGATGCATTTTGTTAACAAACCAAACTTAATACGTGCAAGCGGCTGGGGTCGCTGGGGTTCTTAGGCTTGGAGGTACCTGGCGCCCTCGCTCTGTAGAAACATAGACATGATTCGGATGTAGGTGGGGCAGGACATAGCCATAGGTGTCCAGGTTCTGTGCAGCCTTGTTTATGATTGGTGGTTTCAAATGAGCTCGGTTTTGGATGACATCTGAAAACCTCGGAAAGGGAAATAGGGGTTTGGCATCTGCGATTAGACAATGTCAGGCAGGAGTGCAAAATTCACAATTCATTGTTGTGGACCATTTTATTCTCATTTCTCGTATTTTCATCCCATGTCATGCAAAGGGAACTCCACCAACGCAAGCGACTCACTGAGTCAGGGTCCCGTCCTATTTCTTTTCAGAAAAATGTGCCTCCGGTCGACTACGAGCTCCTTGTTGACACAGGCTCCCCTGTTAACCCGCGTCCTGCCGGGGGTCTAAGACAACCGCGCCCGGTCGGGGAAGGGGGAGGGGTTGACTTCCCCCACTGCGATCTCCAACTTCCAGCCGCCGCATGAAAAATGCCGTTTTGAGAGTCTCGTCAAATTATAAAGAATGCAAACAAAATGTTTGACCATAGGCCAAGTGTAAGGTCACCAGAGACCACGAAAGGTCGCAAACGGTCGATCCGATTGGCGCACTTTAAACCTATGTTAATATGTCAAGACAGATATTGAGGGCACGGTAATAAGAGTAAAGACTGTGGGGAGCCTATTTCGACCATTTATGTTCCCTCACATAGGTCAGGTCGGATCAGGTCGCCGTTCAAATTGGTCTAACCGTAACCTACAAGGACGATACTTTTTCTTCACAATGCGCTTGGCTGAGTTCATTTTTTAGGTGCAGCTGTGGAACCAAAGTATTCCGCACACAAAAATACAATTTTAGGATGACCTTGAGGTAACCTGAGATATAATTAGGTCAAGTTCAGAAGCCATCCAAATGAAAAAAATTAAAGTAGGAGAAGAATGTGAGGCTTCACTGAAGTGACGCAACCTAACCTTATGCAACCTAATGGCCAACAAACGGGTTTTTTACGCAAACAAGCGTGTGGGCAAAACCACTGAAGACCTGTACGACCATGTAATGTCCATAATGTGAACGAGACACATCACTGACGCGCGTCTGGCAATTACACGCTGGTACCATTCATGCATTTACACTTGCCACGATTTGCGACGAGTGGTCCGATTTGAGCAAAAACCGTGCAGTGTCGCCATGTCATAGTGTTATCTAAGGAGAGCTGCCGACGCTCCACCTGGTGCAAGGTGAGCATGACAGCTGTCATGCCGATCCTCAACTAGATTCCAGCTGTGGTGTGAAATTTTACGGTAGCCGAAGTAAAGTCATTCTGACCACGGCGCAGGGATGACATTTAAGTAAAGGGGCCCAACACCATCTTACAAAGAGAAAACATCAAGAATTTAAGTTATCAAGATCATCGGAAATCTAGGTAGAGATCAAATTAGGAGTCAAGCGTTCGCTAGAATGCCGTGGCGATATGACGAAAGTCGGAGAAGACCGCATCTCTCCCCCTCCCCCTGAAATTAGAGGGACGAACGAAGTCAGGAACAGGTGATGCTGTGGTGCTACAAACATCTTCCGCAATCACCTCTCATCGTCCCTTGCCGCTGGATTGGCTAGATAAAACGGTGACCACGCAGTACGCAGATCGCTACAAATGTCCACAAGGGTGTGCGAGTTCAGTCCGCAGTTTTCCAGAAGTCTTGACAGCATGTATGCGGCTTGGTTATCAGCCAAGCAGTGTGACAAACACCTGCCAGTCGCGAAACCGATCCGGCTCATTCTCAGACCAGAAGTGCTGGATACATCCGAGATTCCCCGCCCAGAGGCCACAGACACCACACAGCCAACATCTCACATAGACCGCGTAAACTGCCCAACATGGCGCTGTAATAAACCGAGAATTGGTACACCCCTAACGCCGACTGTCACAGAAATGACAGTGATGTTGGCGGAAATGAACATCGGTCGTGCGTGCTGCTGGAACTCCTGTTTTGTGTCGCCGTACGATCCGTCATCTGCTGTAATTTGGACGACTTGGTTGGGCCCAAAACCGAACCAAGATTATAAAGTGCACCAAAAATTACATCTTCAATGAGACGTTCCTGGAATGTTCACCGGATGTACGCGTATACCGTATACACTTCCGTAACACCCATGACCAGAGTTGAGCATGCAACAACTGGCATGCTTGCCCCGTGCCGCGCATGCCCCTTGACCATGGACATCGCAAACCACGCCGTTTAAATGCACGTTACACTTAACCTTCATGCGTAGTCAGTCGCGTGTAGTCGTGCAGCAAACTCTGACCTTTTGGCAAATGATCTGTGACGCTTTTCTTAATTTGACCAAGTGGCTGAATCGCACTCTGTGTGCCCGACGGAGATTCCGCGTCCGGAAAGGATTCGCTCAATATATGTCGTTTGGGTCGCTTCGAACACCAAAACGCGCTGAATCTTTGAGGTGCAATGCCATGGATGACGTGGACGGCAAATTCTTTGTCGTTCCAGTCGCTGCGAACACAACCCTTGTTTACGACAAAAAATATCCTTTTTCGCTCATACATAAAACGAGCAAGAAAACACACCTAGAGCTCTGGCACTCGGAACACAATGCTGAGAAACGTGATGCCTGAGAGGTGAAGGGGAACCGTTTCGAATAGTTCTCAAGCACCCACCCTTCAGCGCTATGCCAGAAATATGAATGGCAAAGCCAGGTTACCAGGCTGAAACTGAAAAGCGCCAGAGTGTCGGATGAAAAGTAGACTTACCAGGTTGAAAACCATCCAAGTGTCTCCCTCCATTGTTTTGCGTAATGCCGCTTCACTCTTGACTCCCCTTGCCTCCGCCAACACTGCAGATAGCAAAATCCCGAGCAATGCCCTGGACACCAAATGACACCACCTTGGTGACATGATCCTGTAACAAAAATGCCATGTCCACGCATTGCTAACCAATTGTTGCAAGCTGGAAGACTGCGTGTCATAAAAGATGGATGAAACAGCCTAGTGCACCCATTTCAGTGTAATCATATTAATATACTAAGTGTGCAAAAACTTCAGTTTAAAATTGGATGCAGCATGACATCAACTCAGCATTCTATTCTTACAAAATGCATGGTCATGATACTTCTTGTAAATGCACCAGTGGACTAAAGAGGGAAATATTTGTATGCAAGCTGCACATAGGGGTGAGTGGGCAGCACCAGTGTCATGCAGGCATAGGTCAGAAGCTGTGAAGACATGAAGCTGGTATATGCTGCTGGTGGGAGGCCAGGTGGGCACCACCCACATCATTCCAGCAACCCTGAAGTATGACCGTCACTCGTTACACTCGATCGTTCAGGGGTCTTCATACTGGGTCTTGGGTAGTTCTTCCTTGAATGGAGGCCCTATGCTCATGATGGGCCCCTTCTGATAGCTTGCTCGAATACACTCGATCATTCGGGGGTCCTCCACGCTAGGTCTTGGGTGCTTCTTATTTGAATGGAAGGGCCTATGGCCTTGTCAGGGCCCTCCCTACTGGGTACTGGGTACACCTTATTTGAATGGAGGCCCTATGCTTTTGTCGGGGCCATATCTGATAACCACTTTGGCGCACTCGGTGGTTCCGGGGCCTTCTACATTGGGTCTTCGGTACTTTATTTTTTAATGGAGGGCCCCACGCTCTTGTTGGGCTCATCTGTTAACCTACTCTGGCGACCTCGATCGTTCGGCAGCCGTCCACATTATGCCGTAGATATTTCTAATATAAATGAGGAGCCCTATGCTCTTGCTGCCCCCCCCCCCCCTCCCCCCCCCGCCATCTTTCCGGGCACACTCGATCGTTCGAGGCCCTCCACATTGTGTCTTGGGTACTTTATGTTTGAATGGAGACCCCTATGTGTTTGGGGGCCCCAAATGTTCAACTTCTTGGGCTCATTGGATTGCTTGGGGTCCCACATACTGGGTCCTGATATTTTACTGCAGGTCCCTATGCTCCAGTCGCAGGCCATCCAATAACCTGTTTGAGTACACCCTATCTTTTGGTTGCCCTCCACACTAGGTCTTGTGATTCTTATGTGAATAAAAGGTCCTATGTTTTTGTTGGGGGCCCCTCTCTGTTAACCTGCTTGGGCACACTCACTCATTCTGGGGGCCCTCCATATCATTTTGGATACTTCTTATTTGAATGGATAGCACTATGTCCCTGTTGGGGACCCCATCTATCAACAAGCTGCTCTGCCCAGTGGCAGAGCAAGATGGGTGGGGGGGGGGGAAGACAAGGAGCCATGCCTCCTTAGTGCCCTGAGAGCACCCATAGGCCCCTTACTGGCTGAATGGATGCAGTTTTATCAAACAAAACACAAAAGAATGGATGTCTTTGGGCCTCCAGATGACAAAGAACAGTTGCAAGGGAAGTGAGGAGCTGGTGGGCAGAAACCTAATTTTTCACTGTATGAGAAGGTGGTGATTTTGGACAATTTTGAGGCTCATTACATTGTTCAGAGACATTATGCTGCTGCTGAGACCTTATATGTCCACTTGGCAGGTCAGTCCAACAGTAAGGAGCATTCCAGCCACCTTGATATCTCTGCTTTTTTCTCATATGGCCCTATGCTGCTGTTGGGATACCATCTGCTGACATGCCTGGATACTCTATATCAATCAAGGGTCCTGCAGCCTCCATTGAGTCTTTACACTCACCTGAAAGGCTTTATACACTTTTCTCACATTTTGGCCCCATATGCAGGATGCACCCAGATGCTCAGGGGCCCTTCATATTGGTCTCTGGTTTTTCCTAGGTCTCTGGCTTTTCCTAGGGAGCCCTTGGCATTGGTCTCTGGTTTTTCCTATGGGGGGAGGGGGTTATATTGGTTTCTGGTTTTTCCTCCTTTCACCACCTGCTCACTTGCTCTAAGGGTCTTGTGCCACTACTGGGGTCAATATAATGTAAGGCACTAAGCCAATCTGTGCTCAGGGGGCCTCTTCATTGATCTGTCACCCTTTTCCTTTTATCTTATTTGTGGAGGACCCTTCAATCTATGGGGGCCCTCTCTGTCCCTGCCCATGCACTCTTGATGGGTTGTACATGACATTACTTATATGCAATGGTCTAAAAATTTGTAAGTAATAATTTTGCTTTGCTCAGGGAGCCCTGTGCTCTGGGCAGGATGCTGTATGTCAGCCTGTCAGGGCACTCCCAGGTGCTGAGCACTGTTGGCCATGGTACCTTAGGGCTTAGGCTCGGAGTAGCTGTCACACAGGCAGCAATGCATTTTTGTGTTGCGCTAAGCAGATGTGTCCTGTCACCTCTGTTGCTATCGAATTTGTGGCACCAATTATAACTCTGGCATCATATTCTTAATGCATTTTGAGTGCTAGGCTATTTTGCACTCCTTTATAACAGGCAAAGCAAAAATTATCCACCAGTCATCACCTATCAGCTGATCATATCAACCAGCCGGCAATCCGCAAATAAGCTAGAAATCAAGTTTGTACATCCAAATCGATTTTCAGGAATATGATCATCATACATCAACACGATCACTTTCCTGCCGTACGGGGTGTCCCCTGATCACAAAACTAGGCGACAGTTCAACACAAGGCCCGTGCCTAAGCCCGCGCTAGTGAACGGAAATTGCGGCACACCCACGATCCGGTGGTACAAAATGGATTATCCTATTACGGTCACGGAACAGGACCGAAATGGCCCGAGGTAACGTCAACCTAATGTCCTGTACCTGCAATACCTTACCTTGGAGATAGTGATCAAATGCAATACAATGTCGGCAGAGTGCAAGCGCTCGCGCGCGAACGCGCGCCCACCCGCACAACAAACGACCGCGCCGCGTGGGCCGGAAAGTGCAACGTTCAAGACTGTATAAAAGGCGGAACACGCTGTGATTCTCTGATCGCCCTCACTCAGTGTGACTTTGACGTCACTGGCTCTCCGACTTCAGCGCACCGCGTGCCGCCAGAGGCGGTGCCTAACGTCGCAGGCAGTAGCGCAGGCAGGGGCGGGGGCACCGGGGGCACGTGCCCCCTTAAGCTCCGGGGGCCCGAAGGCCCTCGGAACATACGATTAATGGCCGATTTGAGGATCTGAAGGGCCCGAAAAGCCATCCAGACGTCTCATTCAGGGGCCCCGGCTCGAAGGACCAGGCACTCAAATGTCAGCCAATAGGCCATGCGCGCTGATCAGGGGCCCGCTGAGTCGATAAGAGTCTTTATTTGGGTCAAACGCCTCCAGCAATGCACAGTCGGCTCCGTGGTGGCATGGACCTAGGAGTCCATTGCCCAAGCATGGACAAAGCAGAAACCAGCGATTTATGTTGTTCGGCCCCACAGCGCCTGACAGAGGCCCTGTGTTGTCAAGGGGTCCCGAGTCGGCCAAATGCAGTGTTTTAGGGGGCCCGAAGAGCCTAGAGGGTTCACCTGGTCCGACGATTAAGGGCCCAATAGGAGGGTCTGAGGAAATCAAGGGCTGGTCGGGGTCTTAGTCAAAGGCCCAGGCTTGCGGAGACGGACCATCGAATAACACTCAGAGGGCTCTTTGCCCCGATCGGGGATCCCCTGAGTCGACATAGGCCATGTGTCGGTCAGGTAGCACCGTACCACATAGTCGGCTCCTTGTTGGTATGGGCATGAGGGCCCACTTCTCAGTCAGCTATAAAGCCGGGGCCAGTGATTTACACTGCTCGAGGACCTTGTATCTGTCAGGAGCCCACAGCGCCTAACAGAGGAACCTGTGCTCGCAAGGGCCCCGAGCCGACCAAGGGAAGTATTAAATGAGGCCCGAAGAGGGGCCCGGGCGGCACACCGGAAACGACTATCAAAGATCCGGTTGGAGGGCAAAAGGGCCCGAAGGACTGGCTGTGGGTCACATAAAGAATCGCGGCCCGTAGGGTCGTGACCTGACATAGCAGTCAGAGATCCTTTTGCACCGTTTAAGGAACCCCTGAGGCCATGGGGGCGTTCAAGTCGGTCAGAGACCACAATCACCGAACAATCGACTTCATGTCCGTCCGAGTCCTCGAGACCCATTTCCCAAGAAGAAAAGAGACCGGGGTCCGCGACTTGCAATATTTACGATACCTGACCTAACGAGGGGCCCCTATGTCAGTTATGGGCAACAGTGCAGAACAGGGGTCCTGTGGCGACAAGTGGCCCCGAATCGGAGCGGTGTTTGAGGGGTCCAAAGAGAGGCCGAAGGGTTTATCGAGACCAAAGATCAAGGGCCCGATGGAATGGTTGAAGGGTCCGAAGGGCTGGCTGCAGATCACATTAAGGACCCCCACCCATAGGGCCGCGATCTCAAAGTCAGAAAGATTATCTCTCGCACCGACAGCGACCCCTGAGACAGATCGTTCCTCTGTTTCGGCCCGAGGTTGCAAACAACAGACAGTCAAATACGTGTTGTCCTGAACTCTGGGGATCCATTTTCCAACCAGTGACAAGGCCAGGCCCGCAATTTACATCGGTCGTGGCTCCTGTATCATCCAGGGGCCCACAGTGCCTAAGAGCGCATTCTGTGTCAACAAGGGGCCTCGAGTCAGTCAGGGGAAGATTTGTTCAGCAGGGACGGGGACGGGAGTCCGAATGACAAAGGGTATCTTGCATTGCCTGGAACCCTCTGACAACTAAAAGAAACAAGAACTTATGGTGAGTGCCCACACCGAGGTAATAGAAGAGTCCTGTGCCAGCTAGCGCTCCCACTCCAAAACGGTGAGCCATCCAACCCTCTTTCAGCATGGTCCCGTTAAGCCAAACTGGAATCAATGTGCCAATAATTTGACCACTTGCTGTGAGCAGGGATGTTGTGGTCATGACGGTTCATGTGTCGATCCAGGGTCAACTGCGCGGGTCCGAAGGCCTCCTGCGTTGGGAGCGGACTAATGTAATATGACTTATCCCTCTAAGGGCCTCCGAATCGGCCAGGGAGATGCCACACCGTGTTGCCAGAATGATGGCCGGAAGACACACCGCGATGGGGCAGAATGGACCTTCAGCTCTTGTAATGAGACGCCAAGTATGCCACCAAAGCTTCTCTGTACTTTCGCAGCTCCTCACATTCCACAGCAGCTCCTCACGGCGACTGCCGACCGCGGGGGCCGCGGGCCGGGGTCGGCCCTGCGGATCCCGACACCCGCCACCGCGGCGGCGGCGCGCCCCCCCCCCCCCCCGCACCCCCGCCCCAGCAGGGGCGCAGGACGCGAAGCACAACTGCGCCACGAACAGCTCTTGACTGGGAACAACGATGTGGCCCGTAGTATTGTTCTCAAGGGAGTCCCTTCACCGGAAAGCCATAACGGGCCTCATTAGTGCTGAATGGAGTGGATCGAACCGAGTTCAAAACGCACAAGGCCATGCCATTGCCTGAAAACGTTGGTTATTTTGCTGGATTGACTAGTAAAATAAATACCATCAAAAATTTTGAGGCTGTGTGCCGGGTGCCGATAGCGTAGTTGTTTACGCGCTTGCGTTAACCACTGCGCGTCTGGAAAACCACAGGTAGGGAGTTCGATACCCGCTGTGCTCGCCCTTCCCGCCAGGGTAAGAGGATGGCGGCGCCATATAACCCCCGGCTGGGGCTGCTGGGGCCTCCAGCAGCTGAGCGTCATAAAGCCCAATGACACGGCGGTTATATCGAGAAGCAAGGATAGCAATGGCTTGGGTCACAGCTTTCGTAAAACCGAACGGCATTGGCCACTGCAAGTAGCGTTAGAGAGCGGGCGCCGAGCGCGCAACAATGACCATAGTAAAATCATGTTTCTGAATGTCTTTCGAAATTAATTCGTTCGGTTTAAAGATTAAGCCGGGCGAATCTGTTCTACAACTTTGAGGATGTCCTCTGGACAAATTAACAGTTACAACAACACGACAAATATAAATCTAACTTTTACTCTTCCATGTTTACTTCCAGATTCCAGCACCACTTCGCGGTGCTGTAAAGACCAATATGTCATTATCATTAATGTAAAAACCGCACAGGTGAAACACACGCCTGGAACATCTATAAACGCACGCTTTGGTGTCAAAAGGCGTTCAAAGGTACTTCTTTCAGATGCATCACTAGTTTCGTTCACCTGTTGGCCACGGCTGAGCGCAAGCCGCGGGGTCGACGCTGCGCGGCCTAAAGAGAATGCAACGTCCTGGCGACGAGTGTTTTGTTTGTAACATACGTGAGCGCGCATGTTCATAACTACGTTACATAATTCGCACCACTAACCAATTCTGGCTGAATGTTGAAGATATTCAGCTAAACATGACCCGACCATGTTAACACACATTGTTGGCCTATTTGATCTTAAATCTACATTCGCGTAATCATTGCTGTTTCTGTACGACCCAAATAAAAAATCTGACAAACCTCCTGCGTTCTGTCGGGTTAAAGGAGTTCACTGGAGCATTGTTAAATGAAGAACACGAGCAATCTTTCCCATGCAGTCATTTAACGCGGAATTTTGTCAGCTTATTTACTTTAAACTTAAGGCAGAATTGATCCAGTGATAGCGTCTGGCCTACACTCCAGTTATAGAGGGTAAAAGTGTGTAATATATATATATATATATATATATATATATATATATATATATATATATATATATATATATATAAACATTTAAGAAAAATATGTCCTCAATAACAAATGGGTCCATGTCCGGTGATTTGGGGGGGGGGCCTTTTACTATCATGGGCCCCTTGTCAACCCCGTGCCCCCCTCCGCCCCTTTACCAAGGCTCTGACTGCCTCCTGGTTGCAAGAAAACGAGAACATCGAAAATAGCCTCCCACACATGCATCAGGGTCCTATTTTCGCAAACTGAGTTGGGGAAATGGATTGAAAAAGGTGTCACGTACCCCACGCCAGACAAAAAGGGGGTTCTTCCGGATCTGGCCCACTTTTCTTCTTAAAGTTGGGGTCGGAGTACAAATCTGGGAGAGGGTGGGCTGACATCAACTGATAAGGAGACTACTCTCCTGAGATAGGCATATGCATGTGATTTGTAGCTGCAAACGGAAAATTTGTGTTGCCAGAGAATCAACCACGTCTCACAAAAACGCAAGTGTGTGATAATGTCACCGGAACATAGTTAGTTGTTAGCCAGGCCGGCCTACTGATATACCATCATCAAAGTGGATGAGGTCGTCAGCGGAGAGGAGCTTAGTCCGCCTGCTAGAGGAGGTCCTCTGACAGCTGGCATGGGCCGTACTGGGAGATCGGCAACAGGCCATTGTCGGCCGAAGCAGTCCAATACGGATTGCTGGACCCCCGGCAGCTAGTTAACACCCGTTTTCGTCCGCGGATCAGGCTAGAGCAGGTCGGGACGAGGCGGTAGCGGCGAGGCTCGCAGCCAAGCAGACCCGTTCGCATGTTCAGGGTCATCAAGTTAGTGGAGTTCAGGCTGACTGTTCAGTGGAGATTGTCTACACTGTTGGCAGCAGGCTATGTGTGTTCCATGTTTAGCTCTTTATACTGTCGAGTTATCGAAGGGCTCGCTGGGTGGTTGGGTACTGTAATATCGTGGGCGTACGTTGGTTGATGGCTTACGCATCCCGCATCGGAGTTGGCGGCTCCGAAGTGCCAAGGTTTTGCAGACGTCACGGTTGAGTCACCTTTGGTGCGCAGGACAGGTCTGACCCATGGCCATACTACATCTCGCTCAGGTTGATGCTGTCACTGTTTTTTATCCGGGTCACCCTGAAATTTTAACACGCGCCCGGGTGGCCGGCTAGATACCCTTCGTTCGGGTATGGGGGGTCAATTTGACCCCCACCCCCTGAGATCTCGGGAACTAAGAAAGCTAGAGACACGAAATTTATAGGATGTCGTGACCTGCACGTAAAC